TGGAAATTTACCCAAAGGAAGTGAAATCAGCAAATAAAAGAATTTTCTGCACCCCCATGTTTATTGCAGCTCATTTCACAATAGCTCAGACATGTAGTCAACCTAAATGCTGAACTTTATCCAGTCAACTGAAGACTAGATAAAGAAATTATGGGATATGTAATCTCTGGAATACTACACAGCAGTAAAAAAATGAAATCCTGTCATTTGCAACAAAATGGATGAGCTAGAAAACATCATACTTAGTGAAATAAGCCAGTCCCAAAGGGACAAATACCATACGTCTCACTGATCTGTGATAACTAATAGAGCACCTAACAGGCAATGTGTAGAAGTGAAATTGACACTTTGAGAAGCAATAACTTGAACAACACTTGTCTTGACTGTTGAGGAAGAGTTTTTTTTTTTCTTAATGGAGAATAGGACTGGAAATGGGAGAGGGAGGAGGAAATGGGGTTGGATTGGGGGGAAAGAGGGCGGGTATGGTGGGAAGAATCACTGTATTCCTACAGTTAGGTTTCTCTGGCAAAAAACAATGTGAGTTTTTCAAAGGGTGAGTAACTGACAACTGATTGAGTTTAATTCTTTTTCCTGGACGATGTGTCATCACTATATGGCCGTTACAAATTGAATTCACAAGTCACTGAGCATGCAATCATTCACTATCTGTATCTTTGGCTGTCATCCTCAAATAAAAAATAGGAAAAAATTCTTGAAGTCATACAATTCCTACAGAGACATCAGGCAGGACAGTGTGAGCAACTCCATGGAATCTCATTCCAGTAGAAACAGCCAACCAATTAAAGTCTCTGTAATGAAGTATTTACTGAAGAAAATGATCAAGATGCAGTGGTAATTTAATCCAGACTTGTTCTCCCTCCCTTTCTCCACTTCAGACTAGAGCAACCAAAGACACGGGGCCCCTTTCCTGCCAGCTCTCACTGGCTGGGGGGCGGGATAACTTCCCTGGGGTGGCAAAATATCACCACTCTCCTGCTCCTGGCTCCCTGTTGTGGGCACAATGCTCTGAGCAAGGATGACTGGGCGGTAGGTCCAGACCTCATGATAGATGAGAACACTCGGACCCCATCGCCTGTTACAGAGGCAAGTCTTCTGAAACCGTGTATTTGTGGTTCCCTATTGCTAAAAGGTGTTGAGTTTCTTTTTTGAGGTTACAAAAATGTTCTGAAATTCATGGGGATAATGGCACATACCTTTGAAAAATCATTGAATTGTATACTTTTAATGGATGAATTGCATGGTAAATAATTTATATCTCAGTACAGCTGTTTAGAAAGTTACATGAGAAGTAGGCACAGCCTGGTGACTAAGATTCCAGTCAAGATGCCTACAATTGAGTGCTAGGTTCACTTCTCTGCGCTGCCTCCTGATCCAGCTTTCTGTTAGTGCAGACCCTAGGAGGCAGCAATGACTGATGAAGTGACTGGGTTTCTGTTACTGTGTGAGAGAAATGGATTAAGTTCCCAGCTCCTTGCTTTAGCCCCATCCCAGTGCCAATTGTTGTAGGCATTGTCGGAGTAACCAGTGAATGGGGGCTCTTTTTCCTTCTCTGATACTCTAATAAATAAACTATTAAGGTTGATTTGTTTATTTGAGAGGCAATGTGAGAAAGAGAGAGAGAGAGAGAAACATCTGCCGGAGTTTCTTCGTATCTCTCATGTGAGTGAAGGGGCCCAAGCACTTGGGCCGTCCTCTGCTGCTTTCCCAGGCCATTATCAGGGAGCTGGATTGAAAATGGAGCAGCCAGAACTTGAACCAGCGCCCATATTGGATGCCAGCACCACAGGCAGAGGCTTAACCTAATACGCCACAGCACAGACCCCAGTGAGTAATTTTTAAAAATGAAAAAAAGAAATCTATGATTTCTGATAACTCTTTAAAAGTATATATTGACTTAGACAATATGCAAGTTGCACTTTGTAAATTCACATTTATTAAATAAAAAAACTATATAACAAACAAAAAAAAGAAAAAAAAGAACTTAATACTTTACCCTTTTAGTATTTTTTATGTTCTACTTAAAACTATTGGTTGAACTCTGTAATTAATACACAATTACTCTTAGGTGTTTAATTAATGCTATAGCTAGTACTCAAATAGTATTTTACACAGGTCTTCAGATTGTATTTTTAACTTGTCATGTTATTTTAATGCTAAGTTTGGTAAACAAAATACTCATAACTAGGTTAATTAACAGTTGGAGAAATTTAGATAAATGTAATTATTCCTATTGCCCTTTTTTAGGGTGAAAGAACAAATTTTTTCTGATAACTAATGGTGTGGCAGATAAAGCTGCTGCCAGTGATCCCAATATTCCATATGGGTGCCAGTTTGTGTCCCAGTGGCTCCACTTCTGACCCAACTTCCATCTAATGCCCTGGGTAACACAGAAGAAAATGGCCAAAGTGCTTGGGCCCCTGCTACCCATGGGGGAACCTGGCTCCTGGCTTTGGCCCAGTCAGTTTGTGGCCATCTGGGGAATGAGCCAGTGGATGGAGTACCTCTCTGTCTCTGTGTCTTCCTCTGTGTAACTCTTTCAAATAAATAAACTCAATTTTTTCAAAAAAAGAAAGACTTAGCTATTTTTACTCCATGAACAACTATTTAATATTATTTAAACACTTTAAGATATATATATATATCCTCCAAAACATTTAAAATATATATGGATGTATATATAAATAAAATAAATTTATAACGGTAAAAAAGTATATATTGACTTAGTTATAATATTTTATTAGATTTATTATTATTAGATTTATTTAAATATTTTATTTTAATTAATTAAATTTATTTAATTTTATAAATTATATTAATTTAGTTTATGAAATAATCATTTTATTTACAATTTAAAATAATTTATTATTTATATTTAACATTGCCTTAAATATTTATTTATTTATTTATTTATTGACAGGCAGAGTAGACAGAGAGAGAGAGACAGAGAGAAAGGTCTTCCTTTTGCCATTGGTTCACCCTCCAATGGCTGCCACGGCCGGCGCACCGCGCTGATCCGAAGCCAGGAGCCAGGTGCTTCTCCTGGTCTCCCATGCAGGTGCATGGCCCAGGCACTTGGGCCATCCTCCACTGCACTCCCAGGCCATAGCAGAGAGCTGGCCTAGAAGAGGGGCAACCGGGACAGAATCCGGCGCCCCGACCGGGACTAGAACCCGGTGTGCTGGCACTGCAGGTAGAGGATTAGCCTATTGAGCTGCGGCGCTGGCCTATATTGTATTTTAATCTAATATTTATATGGTAATATTCCAAAAATAAAATTCACATAAAACATGATTTCCCTTCTGTGTGATACATTCTATACTCATACACAGATATGGATATAAATGCATAAGAAAATGCCTGCAGTACACACATTAGACTAATTATGATGACTAAGTCAGGGAGAAAGTCCTTGGGATTATAAGGAAAGGTGATATTAATCTTAACTGTATGCCATTTAAAAAAAGATAATATGAATGGTTGAATACAAAACATGATCAGACACCATAAGTACAAGACTACACATTTTCATTAGACAAGTAGTAGAAGTCTAACCTCAGTTCTTAGTCCTTGTGGAATTCTGAATATCTTTATTACAGGGACTCTGTTCTTGATTATTTTGCATTCAGTACAAATTAAGTAGTAGAATTCCTGTTATTGGCTAGTTGCTTGCGATTATGAGCTGTAATCATCACACAGAAGGTATGACTAAGACCCAGAGAGAGGAATAAGTTCCTTAAGCTCAGCCAACAATAATAGGAGGTGGTCTTCCACTTTGTTTTTCTCAAGGCTCCTCCATGGAACCCATATCTCCACTTCTGGTATGAACACCTCCTGCTGGCGTAGGTATGTGACTACCAATACAGGAGCAACCACTCCTAGGAAAGGACATGAAGACCCATTGCTCCATGCTGCCAGTTTAGTTCTTTGATCCATGCAAGTTCATTTTCTCTTTCAAGCAATATGACCCTGAGACCTACGAATTCAAGATACAACTGCTTCTGTGGTCTGAGTCGGAGGTTCCTAGGTTGGGAAGCTAAGACGGAGGTCTCTTGATTTGCAGAATAAAGCCCCTTACGGGCAATGGCAGGAGCAGAAAAGATAAATGGATTAGGACAAGGCAAGGTATATGTTAGATGCAGAGAAAACTGGGGGTGGGTCTTGGGCAATGATTTGGCATTCTAATCACATCCCCATTCAAGCTTGCATCAGTCCTGATAGCAGGAGCCATGCCCAATGGGAGCTCTCTGAAGCTCTTGTGTTGATGACCTTGCCTAGTTTGCAGTGGAAACCAGCAGAGGGGAGATGACATTTAAGTCTAGGTCCCAGAGAAACAGAGTTGTTAGATCTGTTTCAGGAATTTCTCCTTACAAACTTAACAGATGGTGAACTTTTAAATTTATGCAGTTTTAGAATGCTCTGACCCTATAATCCAGGCAATTTATTCCAAAGTCTGCACTCGAATAGTTTCCCCAACAGTGGAATGTGATCCACTGATGGCTCACAAATTCCTAGAGGAACTCAAGAATTCTTTGAGAGGGTTAGAACTGGGTTGCTACAGGAGTATTGGTTTCTTGTTTTGTGTTGTGTGTATTTTCGAACCAGAGAAGAGAAACAGAGAGCTCCACCCAATAGTTCACTCCCCTAAATGCCTGCGACCGGGGAGCAGAGCGAGCAGCTGGATACGCCATATAGGTTTCAGTCATGGACGGCAGGAATCCCATCACTTGAGCCATCACCATGTGCTTTAGCGGGAAGCTGGCAGCATGGGGAGCTGGAGCTGAGAATTGAGCCCAGGCACTCCGATGGGGGAAGTGAGCATCTTAATCAAACGCCTGCATTACTGTGTAAGTTTTTTAAAGTAACACAGTCATTGTGATTTTTCCATGCCTTAATAGGCATTTGTAATAAGTCAATTTGGATTCTATGACCTCAATATAATGATCAAAATCAAAAGAGAAAATAAAACTAGTCACAATTACCAAATGCAGCCACACTAAAACTTCTCCATTCGTGGCACTGTTCTTTCAAAACGTGACATTTTCAAACTGGGAACGGATGAAGAATCGAATTCCACATGGCGGCCGTGTGGTAGCGACCCGTTAGAACGCATCCTGTGTGGTCTCCAGGCAGCCGGCTCGCTGCCAAGGAGACACACGACGCATGCTCCTTGTTTCGTAAGGGCGGGGCGCAGAGGCTTCTGGGAAATGTAGTCTCACCTTCCCAGACGTCACCAGCACAGTGCCCTGCAAGGCCCTTTCCCGAGTTCCTTCTGCGCATGTGCTGCCCCGCCCACTGTCGCCATCTTTTTTCCGGAAATCCAGATGTTGTGGCTGCCCTTATCACTTCTGCAGGCTGAGGTGTTGACTTTTGCGTCCCTGAAGGTTGGTGTGAGGGCGAAAGGGGAACGCTGGGCCTCGGGGCGCCTGGGGAGCGGACGGCTGTGCCCACGTGACAGGCGCGGACACGTCGTGGGCCTCGAGCGCTGGAGCCGGGCCTGCCTGAGGGGCTTTACCGTGGAATCCTCCGCGGGTGCTGGACCTCGGTGATGGCCTTGCCCTGCCGGGAGGCCGGATGTGTGCCTCCGGGTGTACAGAGCTGGCTGCAGGCCTCGTGCGGCTGGGCAGTGTGCGGCGCGAGTCCGCGTTCTGCCTCTGAGATGAGCGGTGGTTACGTCTGCGGGGTCCGTGCTGTCTGCAGCGAGTGCGGCCGCTGTCCTGCCTCGCTGCCGTCCGGTGTGAGTTTACAGAGGCGCACAGCGCCAGTGAGCTGTGCAGGGGAGGTGCGGGTGCCGGGCGATCGCCTGGCCCTTGGAATGGGTAGTTACTAAGCCGAGTGAAGGAGGGCCCCGGTGGCTGGCAGTGCACCTGCAGGAATACCCTCTCCGCGGTGCTTCGCAGCAAAGCTCAAGATTCCAGGACGGGTGAAGATCCTGGCTTTGCATGGCCCAAGCAGTTGTGGATCGTGCTGGCCGGAGTGAACACGCTGTGCCTGATGCTACCTTGCCTCATCCGCCAGCTGTCAGAGACGGGGCGGTGTTGGCGGATTTGGACCAACTTTGAGAAGGGAGAGTGAGTGGGTCGAGAAGGAATAGACAGGGCCGGGAGGTGTTTCTTAGGGGATCCCGAGCTGTGTCCTGCGGTGCAGGGATGGCCTGCCTAACACTCCCCGCATTTCATTCCCCCTCACTGTTGTCGGAATTGGAGTGCTCTCAAACCTCGAGTGTCCCCGCACCTGGCATGCAGAGACTTGCTGATGTCCCCTCTGCCCTACAGCCCTTCCTGGGTGCTCAGGAAGGGGTGGCCAGGGTCTTTCCGCCTGGTGAGAAAGATGAAACAGTGAGTTGATCAGTGTCGCGTGTTTTGTGGATGTCATGCATCCTGACTCTGACTAGCGTTCTCTATTTTTCTTTAATAAATTTGAAATTCATGTTTGTGTTTGAGATCAGTTTCAGAAGCTGCGGTCAATTTAGAACAAATGTTGTTTTAGAAGTCTTTTCCGTGAACTCTCCCAGTGTCTGGTTTTCCCAAACGCTGTCTATTGATTGTGTGAGCCCAAAAGGTTTATAACTCAAATTTTGCCTCACAATGTCACTAATCCATTCTTGACAATCATAAATAGTACAATAGCATAATGTGAGCCTATTTTCCATTATTTCAGATGAGAAAATTAGGCTGAATCATACTTTTACTGCTAATTAGTTTCTTAAAATATAAGTAAACAAAATACAATGGCTACATACATGTAAAAATTTAAAACATAGTCTTATCATCTCCAGACAGTCTTCGTGTCTGATTCACATGGCCACTCTTAGTGCCAGCAGCCTTGCTGACTCCATCTGGTTATTTTGCATACTTAGGAAAACTGCATGAGCTCATGAATTGTATTGATGGTATTTGTTATATACCTCAGTTCTTTCTCCCCTCCCTGGTGTTTATCGGCATATGTAACACATCAACAAACACTAGGTTAGAAAACAATCTCTATTTGTAATGCTGAGTCAACACTTTGAGGTGAGCCCCGTGGAACAGTTCCTGTGCTGGTGTTACCAGGAACTATAGAATGACGGTTTATCATCTGCTCTCTTGGCTGGTCCCTTGTAATGGCTTTACTCATATGAATAGTAGTATGTGCAGTGTTTTGGCTAGGCCCTGTGTCTCCAACAGGAAAGCTACATGCTTATTCACAAAATAGCTGTTCCAAGAAGGCAAACTCTAGTAGACATAGACTTTTTTTTTTTAAAGATTTATTTATTTATTTGAAAGACAGAGTTACACAGAGAGAGGAGAGGCAGAGAGAGAGAGGGAGAGAGAGAGATCTTCATCTGCTGGTTCACTCTCCAATTGGCCGAAACAGGGCGGAGGTGTGCCCATCTGAAGCCAGGAGCCAGGAGCTTCCTCTGGGTCTCCCACGCGGGTGCAGGGGTCCAAGGACTTGGGCCATCTTCTACTGCTTTCCCAGGCCATAGCAGAGAGCTGAGTCAGAAGTGGAACTGCCGGGTCTTGAACCAGCGCCCCTAGGGGATGCTGGCGCTTCAGGCCAGGGCAGTAACCCGCTGCAGCACAGCGCCGGCCCCAGTAGACATATACTTTTCAAAACTGTGTATCACCTTTACTGGTGTCCATTGACTAAAACAAGTGAAATGGCATTGTGGGGAAGGACTGTGGCATTGATATAGAGAGCTGTGTCATTTGGAACCATTACTGTGAAAGTATACCACAACAAATATATATTATGTACATTTTCCATATACAATTTTGGGCCAAAAATATGGGTTATTTTTCTCTGAAATTTAATAGAAACACTAATATGGAGTCCTGTGTGATATGTCTATATTGGTAGAAAAATAACAGCACCCAAGTATTTTTCTATAATGGAAATATTAGTGACAACGTAATATTTCTTCCTTTGTTGTACTGTACTATATTTATTTATTTATTTATTTTGACAGGCAGAGTTAGACAGTGAGAGAGACAGAGAGAAAGGTCTTCCTTCTGTTGGTTCACTCCCAAATGGCCGCCATGGCCGGTGCGCTGTGTCGATCTGCAGCTAGGAGCCAGGTGCTTCCTCCTGGTCTCCCATGCAGGTGCAGGGCCCAAGCACTTGGGCCATCCTCCACTACCTTCCCGGGCCACAGCAGAGAGCTGGACCGGAAGAGGAGCAACTGGGACAGAATCTGGCACCCCAACCGGGACTAGAACCCGGGATTCCGTCACTGCAGGCGGAGGATTAGCCTAGTGAGCTGCGGTGCCGGCCTGTACTGTAACTGATTTAAGCAACCATCTTTAAAAATGATTTCTTAGTGATAGCGTTAATTTTTTTTTTTTTTTTTGACAGGCAGAGTGGACAGTGAGAGAGAGAGAGACAGAGAGAAAGGTCTTCCTTTGCTGTTGGTTCACCCTCCAATGGCCGCCGCGGCCGGCGCGCTGCGGCTGGCGCACCGCGCTGATCTGATGCCAGGAGCCAGGAGCCAGGTGCTTTTCCTGGTCTGCCATGGGGTGCAGGGCCCAAGCACCTGGGCCATCCTCCACTGCACTCCCTGGCCACAGCAGAGAGCTGGTCTGGAAGAGGGGCAACTGGGACAGAATCCAGCGCCCCGACTGGGACTAGAACCCGGTGTGCCGACGCTGCTAGGCGGAGGATTAGCCTAGTGAGCCGCGGCGCCGGCCCGATAGCGTTAATTTTATAACATCAGTAGCAAATAATTATTTTCATTAACCTAATACTACCTTGTATTTAATATCTACTGATTAATAGAATTGAGGGTGAATTTTCAATGAGGCATCTCCTGCTCTTTTTCACATGTAATGCTGAGTCAACACTTTGAGATGAGCCCCGTGGAACAGTTCCTGTGCTGGTGTTACCAGGAACTATAGAATGACGGTTTATCATCTGCTCTCTATTTTTAATTATATTATTTTTCTCACAAAGAAGCTTTTGTTTTTGGGTTTTATCCCACCTAATGCATCATTTTCTGTTGGTTTCTATCATGATCTTGCTTTGCACTGTGGAATCTAGAGGTGATTCAGACCATTTCTCTCACTATGTCCTCCTTTCACCCTCTCTTGCAGCTGTAATTCCAGAGTCCTCTACATGTTTCCACGAACAAAGAAAATGAATACATCTCCAGTAAGTTAGTTTATTGCTCAGCTTGTTTTACAATGGGTATGCACTAATGAAAATGGGAAAGTAAAACTAAATAAAATTAAGCATCAGAGAAATATACATTAACAAGCTAAAGTTGCTGTGGTTATGCGACTTTAGAGCTGTCTAAGTAGAGTATAAAGTATAAGTATACTTATTGTATAAGTAGAGTATAAGCTATATAAGTAGAGTATCTCTGGTCTTTCTGATACCATAGCAAAAAGATTTAGTCATTACATGTTTTAAAGCAGCTCTAAGAGGAGAACATGTGTAATTCTCATAGGATATGAAGTCTGGATCTGTATTTGTTACATAGGTAATGTAGTGGACAGTGTTTTAATTTGTGCTAACACATGACTAAGTTAATGAAGTTTTTTGGAATTGCTAAAATAGTGTGATCTCAGACAGCTTTGGGAAAAAGCTGTGCTTGATTCACCTATAGAACCAGGAATGTGTGGAGGGTAGAATAGACTTTCGATCTTTAAATGGCTCTCCATATATTTCTCTCAGTCGTTCTATATGCAGTTGGTACCAAGGATTTCCCAGTTGTATTTTCAGGCAGGTGTTTCCATTGCTTGTTTACACTTTAATCTACCTGTTGTAGTCTTAGATCAGTTCTTCAGAAGTTTACCAGTAACCTAAATTATAGTCACATCTAAATACTATTCTAATAGAATCTTCTGCCATATTTGCAACTGCTGTCCATGATGTTCTCTTTCAGACTCTTCTCTGTTGGTTTCTGTCATGGCCTGCTTGATGGTGCCTTCTTTTTTTCCCGGAATTCTTGTACTTTCTTCTCCTTGATGTAGCTTATCCAGGTGTGCCATTTATCTCACTCAGCAGTTCTCCATGACTGATTTGGCCTGCCATGGTCTGACATTCCCAACTTTTCTCTCTGACTTGCACACCTTCCTCATCGTTTGGATCATATTTCAACTCCCAGTTCGGCGCTTCTTTGTTGCTTTCCAAAAGATACCTCAGATCCAGAAATCCAATGTGAAAACTACATACTTCATTTTCTCCTTCTATGTGGTATTACTATGAGCGAGCCTTGACCCATGCCACCAAATGGGTGTTTTTCCTGGACTCTCCCCACCCGTAGGTTTATTTGGTGTCAGATCCTGCTTGCTTTTTTTTTTTTTTTAAGTTTTTAAATGTTTATTCTAATGCCTACTGGAATGTGTATAAAGGAGGGACTGTTGGTGCTAAAAAAATATGATATTTTTTCATTTTTACATGGATGTAGAAGCTCTTTATGTAACTAGGTGGATGTTATTAGCTCATGATGTGATTTCTTTCTTTCCTTTTTTTTTTTAAAGAAAAAGATTTATTATTTTTTTGAGAGGCAGAGTCACAGAAAAGCAGAGGCAGAAAGAGAGAGAGAGAGAATTTCTTTCCCTCTGGAGCTGAACAAGCAGCCAGTAGGTATAGTGACAGCCTTAGGAGTCAGTGTGAGAAAGCATTCAGGAGTTAGTGGGGTGCATGTGAACAGAAGCAGAAAGATAAAGAAGATAGGAAGCATAGGTGTTAATGATTTGTAACTTTTGCTCTATATATGTGTATATATATATGATTTTATCTATAGTTTGTACTAATACAAAATTACAACTTGTCATGTTTTGATGCTGTTTGAAAGATTGCATTTTATTATATCAGCTAATAACTTAACAGTGAATAAGGAGAAAGATGTATGCATTATTCATAGCTATGTTTATGGGCTTAGAGCTGCGATTAACAGTTGATTAAAAACAAACTTTTTGGCCGGCGCCGCAGCTCACTAGGCTAATCCTCCGCCTTGCGGTGCCGGCACACCGGGTTCTAGTCCCGGTCGGGGCACCGGATTCTGTCCCGGTTGCCCCTCTTCCAGGCCAGCTCTCTGCTGTGGCCAGGGAGTGCAGTGGAGGATGGCCCAAGTGCTTGGGCCCTGCACCCCATGGGAGACCAGGAGAAGCACCTGGCTCCTGCCATCGGATCAGTGTGGTGCGCTAGCTGCAGTGCGGTGTGCTAGCCGCAGCGCGCCGGCCGCGGCGGCCATTGGAGGGTGAACCAATGGCAAAGGAAGACCTTTCTCTCTGTCTCTCTCTCTCACTGTCCACTCTGCCTGTCAAAAAAAACAAAACAAAACAAAAACAAACAAACAAAAAAACTTGTGACAAAATATATATAACCTAAAATTTGACACTTTAATCATTTTAAAATGGCAGTTCAGTGCCTTTAAGTATAGTCACATTACTTTGGAATCTTCACCACCATCCATGTACTCCATGTACAGAAATTACTGTATTTTCCCCAGATGAAACTTTGCATGCACCAAACACTTAGTCCCTATATCCCTTTACCACATACCCTGGCAATCGCTAGTCTATTTTCTTCCTCCCTCCCTCCATCCCTCCTCCCTCCCTCCCTCCCTCCCTCCCTTCCTCCCTTCATCTGTTTGAAAGGCAGAGTTACAGAGAGAAGTAGAGACAGAGAGAGACAGATCTTCCATCAGTTGGTTCACTCCCCAAATGGCTGCAACGGCTGGAGCTGGGCCAGTCCGAAGCCAGGGCCAAGAGCTCTTTCTGGGTCTCCCACATGGGTACAGAGGTCCAAGGACTTGGGCCATCTTCTACTGCTTTCCCAGGCAATAGCAGATAGCTGGATCGCAAGTGGAGCAGCCGGGACTCAAACTGGTGTCCATGTGGGATGCTGGCACTGCAGGTGACAGCTCTACCCACTATACCACAGTGCTGGCCCCAGCACTAATCTATTTTCTATCTCTGTAAATTTACCAACTTTTAGACCCTCATATGAGTGGAATAATACAATATTTGTCCTCTTGTTAACTGGCTTATTATGTGTAGGATAAAGTTCATTGTATTGTAGCGTTTTTCAAAATTTCCTTTTTAAAGCTCATTAGTGTTCTGTTGTATGTTATGGTTTAAATATGGTCTGTTCTCTCTGAAACTCATGTTGGACTTTAATTCCCACTGTGAGGTATTAAGAGGGTGAAAACTCAATCTAAATGCAGTGATTAGAGGTGGAGCCTTTGGGAGGCAATCAGGATCCTACAGGGTTGTGAGGATGGAACTAAAGGAGACATGGGCGCGCTCCCAGTCTCTTCCTGTGGGATGCCCTGTGCTGCCCCTCCCCAACCTTTTGACTAGAATTTCAGCCAAAATAAACTTCTTTCTTTATAACTTGCCTAGTTGTGGTGTTGTGTTGTTAGAAACACAAAACAGACTAATAACATATGTATATACCACCTTGTATTTATTCCTTCAGCCTTCCATGAAAGCCTGAATTGCTTCCACTTGTTGGGTGTTGTGAATAATGCTGCTATGAACCTCTTTTCCTTTTGTGTGTATACACAAGAATAGAATTGTGTAGTTCTTTCAGGTCTCCATGCCATTTTCCATATTGGTTTCACAATTTTACATTCATACCAGGAGTTTATTAGAGTTTTAATTTCTCTACATCCTTTCCAACATTTGTTATTCTTTTTTGTAATGGACATTGCAATAAGTGTAAAGTGATATTTCATTATGGTTTTCATTTGCATTTCTCCAGTGGTTACTGACATTGAGCTTCTTTGCATGTGTTTATCAGCCATTTGCATATCTTCTTTGAAGAAAAGGCTGTTTAATCTTTTGCTCATTTTTCTTTGATTTTGACTTCCCTTTTGAGTTATAGAGTTTTCTTATATACCATATTCTGGATATTAATCTCCGATTAGAGAATTTGCAAAAGTTTTCTCCATTCTATAGGTTGCCTTTTCATTCCTGATAGTTTCTTTTGATGACCAGAAATTTTAATTTTATCTTTTTTCTTTTGTTTTTTGTTCAATATCAATGTCATGGAAAATAATTCATGCCAACCACAATGTCTTGAAGTTTTTTCTTAACATTTTAAATTCACAATTATAGCTTGATATCATAACATAAAATATGAAATGACTATTATTTAGAAACTGATATTCAATCACAGTTTCAGTATGTTTCCAATTAAGGTACTGTGTTTACCCCAATGAGGTCCTTTTTTTTTTTTTTTTTTAAAGATTTACTTATTTATTTAAGAGGCAGAGTTACAGACAGAGGGAGAGGAAAAGAGAGAGTTCTTTCATCCGCTGGTTCACTCCCCAAATGGCTGCAACGGCCAGAGCTGGGCAGATCCAAAGCCAGGAGCTTCTTCTGGTTCTCTGACGTGGTGATAGGGTCCCAAGCACTTGGACCATCTTCCACTGCTTTCCCAGGCCATAAGAGAGAGTGGATTGGAAAAGGAGCAGCTGGGACTCGAACCAGCGCCCATATGGGATGCCAGTGTAACAGGTGGAGGCTTAGCCTGCTATATCACAGGGTCAGCCCCGAGGTTTGCAGTGTTCTGAATTTGCTGTGTTCTGTTAGCTAAGCAGGTTGCTGAGGCCAGTCCACATTCAAGGGGAATCAGTTTCTGCCTCAAAGGTAGGATCAAGAAAAAAATTCTGGCCACCTTTAATCTACAGATGTCGATGTTATGATGTATTTTTTTAACATACATTCTGATTTGCCTTATGGTTTTTTTTTTTTTTCTTTCACTCATTTAGTTTTTAAATATTTGAGACTCTTCTGGATTTCTTTTTTCTTGTGACTTCTATAATTCCATTGAGATCACAGAACATACTTTAAGAGTTCAATCTTGAGAGTTGTTTTATGGCTCACCATGTGTTTCATCTTGGTGGGTATTCCGCGTGGTACTCTCTAAATATGAGTGAATATATTGCCATTATGTGTTCCAACTGATTTTTTTAAAAGATTTTTTTTTTTTTTTTAAATTGAAAGGCAGAGTTACAGAGAGGCAGAGGCAGAGAGAAAGAGAGGTCTTCCATCCACTAGTTCACTTGCCGAATGGCTACAATGGCTGGAGCTGGGCTGATCTGAAGCCAAGAGCTGGAAGCTTCTTCCAGGTCTCCCACATGGGTACAGGGGCCCAAGGACTTGGGCCATCCTGTTCTGCCTTCCCAGGGCATT